GAAATAATAATTTTCATTAGCAAGTAACATTATATTATTTCATATGGTATGAATTAAAAAAGTCATGCACAACTTTTTGGACGAGTTGAAAACCTTTTGAATTTTACTCAAAAGACAAAGTTTTATATTTTATAAACCTTGAGTTTATAAAATTTAAACTAACTTTCCTCCATTTTATACAATTTTCAGAATTTTCATAAAAGGAAGAAAGGTATGGCTTTTCCATTAGTTTATTCAAAAAGAAATGAAGCATGGGAGACATGTTTATGACATGGTGCATATGTGCTTAAAGTGTTAAGACCTAAATGGTTAATACTTTCACTTTATGCATATAAATAAGAGGCTTGCATTCTTGAAATGTTGCTCATTCCTTCTTCCCTACTAGTGGCCGAAACTAGTTTTTCTCTCCCTTTCTCTCTAGTTTTGGTTAGAAAACTTGAAGAATACTTGCATCTTCATGCCTTCTTTAAGTTTATATTGGTTATGAACTTAAAGCTTAAAGGTTTAAGAGTTTTGGACTAGCATCTACATCAAGTTGAGTCATTGTTGGTGTCTCAAATGTTCCACATTCTTCATCAACTTCCAAGCCTCCCAAGAGGACCCAAAGAACTACAAAGGTTGTTATTTCTTCATCCTTTCTTTGGTTGGTGTTTAAATCTTTCTATAACTTGCAAGAAGATCCTTGGTGGGTATAAAATGTTTATGTTACTTCAAAAATTAAAGTCTTCCGTTTGCCATATTTTTGTAGTTTTTGAAACTATTTTTGAACTAAAACCCAACAGTTTCGATGGGTCATCATCGGGAATGTTCACAACAACGTCGGACTCCCCCAAAAGGAAGTCCATATTTCGCCTTTTACGAAGGCGCAAGTTAGAAGAACTAAAATTGGCACCCTCTGTAAGTGGAGAGTCCAACCAAGCCAACCGCCGCTTAGAAGCCGAGCACCTCTCCCTCATCACCAACTCAGTCGGCGGCTCATCTTCATGATCGGAGCGAAAAGGATCGTCGCGGGAGGCTCCCCCAACAGGCGCATCAACCAACACTCGAGCGGAGAAGAAACGCGAGAACCAGTAAGAGCCAGGGCACAGTCGGCACTGACCGGTGGAGGAAGCGTCTCTACCAAGGGCACCTCCCGGTATTGACAGGTGCCCTGAAAACGGCCCCTCGGCACCATCTCGAAGGGGATAACCCTCTCACGACCTACAAATAAAAACCAAGCCAACGTAGTTAGGGACATGGGCAAAATTACTAGTCGCATAACGCAAATACAAGCACGGGAAGACGATAATCAAAAAAGGGGGAGGAGAGGTACTTACCGTCCTTCTCAACATAGAACTGAGGCATCATCCACCGTGCCCTCCAAGCGACACTCATACCGATGGCGACCAACATGCAGTCCTCCCAATTCTCCCCGTTGAAAGAGATGGTTCTCAACGCCCCGGCCACGGTTTCGCTGGCCCCCCAGAGAGCAAGAATACGATCAGTGAAGTTGGTCCGGCGAGGATAACTATAGCCGACCAAATCACGGTTCACCCACAACCACTTGTCCTGTCAATTTTTCTTAGGGGCCTTCTGATTAATGATGAACGTGTGGATTCCCCGCCGCTGAGAGAACCTATGCACCCCAGACTAAGTCAACGAGTTGAAGAAGTACTTGAAAGCCCAGAACTGAGGAAGCACACCCAAAGCCCTACACGCCATTTCTAAGCCAACGATCTTGTTGACAGCTTTAGGAGTCAGATCGTCGACAGAAAAACCGTATTGACGCATAATATCATCGAAAAAACCGGACGTGGGAAGCCGGAGCCCCGCCTCAAAGATTGGTATGGGGACTCCGACCTTCCCCTCCGGCGGACGGGAAATAATAGCCCCTTATGAGGGTATTACACCCCGTGCTCGGGAAGAAAACTGAACCGTTCTTGAAGATCGGCAAACTCACTCGGAGAAGGAACGATTCCGATATTTTGGGCAGTCATTGTTCGTCGACAAGAAAAAATGAGAACGGAGAAGAAAATGAAAATAGTAGAAAGAAGGAAGGAGTATCAGAAGCAAGAGGAAGTGAAGAAAAGGAAACCAACACAAATGAAGGAAGTTTTAAATACAGGCGGGAAGTCCAAGCGGTTATAATGATGAAACCGTCTGCGCAGACGCCTCCGTCACAGTAGTCACCAAGAGACATCTCCACCAAACACATGTCCAGATTTAAGCTAGAACAACACAACTATCTTAAGCAAATGTTGACGTCTACTAGCCTAGGGGACTTATTAACGTATCCCACTAGGAATACGCCAAATATAACGGAGTCGTAATCTCTTAGATGACTTAGTCAAAGGTCTACGCATACCTAGCGCCGAGGACGGGTCTTCGCCCTCGGCGCCTCGCTTTTATTCCTTGGCGCCCAAGCGCCAAAGCCAACTCCAAGACAAAACAGTACCAGTCACCTCCCAGGGTGACATGTGTAATGCTTAGGGCGCTGGTCTCTGAGAATTCTACACCAATAACAGTTAACAACTAGTGGAGCACAATCCGCCACTAGGACACCTTCGCGTCCTGTCGGTTCAGAATGGACAAAAATGTATTGTCGGGATCTTGTCCCCGCCACGGTAGGTATAAATAGAGCCATTCTCCTCCAAGATAAGGGATCGCCTCTCCCACACTTTTCAGCTAAACCCATATCCTCTCAACTAGTTACTAACTAAACCGTCAGAGCTTCGTTCCGGGATCTCCTCTCGAATGTTGACTAACAGCCTTTTTCTCTATATTGTGACTCTCAGGCTTAACTCCACCAAAGTCACCAAAGACAGCATTAAGTCCAGGGAACATAGCACAACAATATATATATATATATATATATATATATATATATATATATATATATCGAAAATAATCAGAGCCAATCATACAAGGAGAGAGTGGGCGGGGTAGCCTCCCCTCATCCTTTTCCCGCACCCCCAGTGTAGTGTAGTTGGGTGCGGTTCCAACTCCCGCAATGGTTTCCCGCACCACACCTCCTAGCCTTATACAAAATATTAAAAGGTTATCTTCGACTAAAATTTCCAGTAAAATATAAGTACTAAGGATCATTAATTGTTTTTGTAAATTTGTTTTAAATTATTATACATGGGGCATATCTATAATTTTACTATTTTATATAGATCATTTCTATATTTTAATATTACATGGAGATTATTTATGTAATTTTGCTTAAATTATTATACATGTATATTTGTATAATTTTATTATTATACATGAACGATTTCTATAATTTTTAAATGAGAACCCAAATATCCTAACTTTTGTGCATTATCATTTTCCTACTCACTAGATCAATGCAAGTATGAAAATCAAGAAAGGGAATTAAGAGAAAAATTAGTTGATTTTACATGTCATTATTTTATATGAACAGGAACAAAATATATAAAAATATTTAATTTCTTTTTTTATATTTTCTACTATCACATAATAACAATTATGTAACTTTAAAATTACACATGGACCATTTTTATAATTCTACAAAATTCAAACATAATAGTCATTTATATAATATTTGCATTTTACCGATACAGTGACTATTTCTGTAATTTTATAATACACCAGTGCCATTTATATAAATTTACTATTAAATATGGACTATTTTATAATTTATTTCCCTGATATTATACAAAGACATTTTCTGTAATATTACTATTACAAAGGGACTGGTATATAATTCTGCAAATTAAAAAAAAAAAATCATTATGTCATAAAATGCAAAGTTTTAAACCGGTTCGAACCAGTTGCTCGAACCGGGAACTGGGGAAGAGAGGGGTTTAACTAATATCGGTTCCATGTCTATTTGAATCGCAACGAGTTAAACAATTTAAAAAAAAGAAAAAAAAAACGGTCGGTGTTTTTAATTTGAACTGTTAAAACTTGGTTGAACCGGTTAAATTAAATAAAAACACATAGAGTTGAGGCATTTTCCATAACAAAACTTGGTGAACTTTTCATATTTATTTAAACTTGTATTATCATTGTATACATTTTTTGTTTGATAAGTAGTTGTACATCCAATCTTTTACAATTTCAGAAAGTGAACAGAAGAACCCTTTAAATATGAGATAATCATATAACATTTGATTTCATATAACATTTGATTTCATCTATAATACTCATATTGACCAACTTTGTAGACTATCAATATGAGATAAATTAAATAAAAACGCATGGAGTTGAGGCATTTTGCATAACAAAATTTGGTGATCTTTTCACATTTATTTAAACTTGTCTTATTATTGTATAATCTTTTATTTGATAAGCAGTTGTACATCCATTCTTTTACAATTTTAGAAAGTAAACATAAGTTTAATTATGAGATAATCAAATAACATTTGATTTCATCTATAATACTCATATTGACCAACTTTGTAGACTATCAAAATGACGAAAAAAACTTGTATGCATTGGATCTTTGAGAAGCTCTCTGTCACTCTCGCTCTCTCTCTCTCTATAAAATAAAATAAAATCTCTCTCTCTCTCTCTCTATATATATATATATATATATATATATAAAGTTCTCGAAAACCGGATTGATCCGGGGATTGAACCAAAAACCGATTCAACTAAAAAGCTCAATTTTTAAAACATTGATAATGATTTTAAGAACAATATCTAACATAGTAAACAAGATAAATGTTAATTTATATAATATGCCTTTTTGAGGTTATAAAAAGTAGTTCTATGATATTTACTTTTGACTAAATTATTAAATTATAAAAGTTGTCCATCTATTATACATCTATTATAGTATAATTTATTTATATAGTCCTTCTCTTTCATTTGTGACGAGTTTAGAGTGTTTAAAATGAGAGTTGGCCATGTTTTCCTTCCATAAAACGTCACGTGTCTAACTTATCAATTCACGTGTCTAACTTATGATCAATCGGTACACCATCACTTCTTAATTTCCAAAATTTTCTTTTACTTCTTGTTGACTTGTACCTTAACCTTAAATTTCAAATTTATGAAAATATCCTTATGTCATGAGTTTTCGCCAGTTTTACAAATTCAAAGCAAATCAAAAGACTTTTCTTTTGCTTCTTTCTACCTGAACCTCTAGCCACATGAACGGACCTGTTAGATTTTGACACAAATTATCAAAGTATATACATTTACCAGGGATATAGAAAGTAGTGAAATTTTGTCTTATTATATCTTTCTATAATTGTTACTTAGACCATATGTTTGAGAGATATAAAAAATAGTCCCTATAAAATTATCTAATAGTCCTAATGTTTAAGAAAACTATATAAACGGTCTTTATATTTATTAAAATTAGAAAAATAGACCCTTCAAAATTATCTATTGTGCCTAGGTTTGATAAAGTTACATAATAGTTCTTGTAAAATTATCAGATAGTCTCTACGTTTGACAAATTTACAAGAATGGTCCATGTATAAATTAATTATGTTTAATTTAATGGTATTCGAAAAAATTCTGGAAATAGTCCCTGCAAAATTATCTAATGTTCCATACTCCATAGATTTGAGGAAATTTTAAAAATGGTAATAAATAATAATAAAATTACAAAAATGGTCCATACATAGGATAAATTTACAATAATGGTCCTTGTTCAAGAGAAAGTTATAAAAATAATCCATGTGTAATAGAGATCTTACAGAAATGCTCCTTGTAATAGTAAAATTACAGAAATAGCCTTATAAAATACCAAAATTACATAAACAGTACCCTGTATAACACAAAATTAACATAATGTTCCCGACGTAACAGTAAAACTATAGAAACATCCCTTGTGTAAGAGCGCATCATATAAATAAATGGTGTCTAAAATATGATATTAATACACCCGACGCAACACACAATATCCCCAATAATTGTTTATAAATTTCAGTTTCATGGGATCTTATGTTCTTATGCACCAATCACAATTGCCAAATTTTACACAATCAGATTGTTTGCTGATCGGAGTAATTCATGATATTTTAATTTTATACAAATATATTGTGTCGTAGCAATTCATGATATTTTAATCTTATACAAATATATTGTGTGGTAGCTAACGCCTACGAAGGCTAGACTATTAGTCTTGTATTTGAGATTGGGCATGTTGCCTAGGCTATTTTCAATAATAAGAATGAGAAAAGGTATTCATGTCTTTCACATATACATTGATCGACAAAGAATATTCGTCACATTGTCAATAGTTCAATGCTGCATTTACAGTCCAATGAATGATAAATGCAATACATCTTGTTTTGTGCTATCATATAATACATAACAAGCAGTAAAAAAAAAAATCATAGGTAACCAAGACATTGTCAGCTCGAATCGGCTGTGGATGAGATTTCACAAAACACTATACGAAAATGGTACATATACAAATTACACATCAAACCAACTCGAGGTTCGGGGTTCCTATTTCTTTTCTACAACACACGCTTATTTTCTTACGAGTTACACACATTCTACTAAAACCTACCTTGGTGTTATCAAACGTAATATTTTTGTACAATTTACCTTATGAAGGTATAACTCCTTGTATCTTTAGAAACACCTAATGCAGACTAGACACAAAAAAAATTGTGTATTAGATAGCCATTTAATTTTAATATGCGAACAAGTACATACAATCTAGTATTATGTTTGGTGTGCATAGGGCTATGACCAGTATCATGAAGGGGGCAAAAGAATACAGCTTTTGTCCCATCTTTTTGGATGGGACAAAAAGTTGTACTTTTTACCCAACTTTTTTGATGGGACAAAAAGTTGAAGTTTTTGTCCCATTGACATTGGTCCAAATCACAGTCTAATGCAGGTCAAACACAGTACAAGTTGTTTGGTTTTGCGTAACAATAGGGGCCCATGGTTATGATTACCATATTAAGAAGACGCATAGCAGCCGGCCGTGTGAATTTTCTAGCAAAAAGGAAGCAAGGGGATGGTTTACCCTTGCTTGTGCACCATTCTCTTCGGTATTCTGTCTCATAGTAAATATTATCGATATCCTACAAATCAAAAAAAAAAAAAAAAATCATCAGTAAAAATATAGCATACAAAATCTAAAGATCATATTCATTTACTACAAGCTCCTTTTTGGGTGTCACAAACCGTGACAGTGTCGATGACGGTCTTTTTGTGTGTGACAAACAATGACATTGACAATGACGATCGTTTTGGATGTGACAAATAGTGCAACTGACAATGACAATGACAGTGGCAGTAGCAGTGGCAATTTATGGATGTGACAGACAGTGATGGTGACAGACTGACAGTAAAAGTCATAATGTACCTTAATAGATTGAACGAGCATGGGAGTGGCATCGGCCAATTTATACGTCACAGGATGCCATCCTTGCCGCTCACGACCTTGTTTGGATGAAATATCCCATGAAGTGTGAGTCAAACTCCTCCTCGTAATTTCTCCTTCAAGTCCTTTATGCTAAATTGATTTATAGAAAAATATATATAAATATATATAAATATATAATAAAATAACATAAAAAAAACTCAAATCATACTCCGTCCTATATTAAGATAATGGTTTTGTTTTTTACTTTTTTATTGCATAACTTAAACTTACAGCAAGGAATGTTGCCACATAATGTTCATCGGGTATGCAATTATGCTCCTTTGAATTGTCAACCGGCTTCAAAAGAAATAAAAATAATTAAATAAATCAACCAAACAAATAATTAAATAAATAATTGAAATAAAATATATACTCACAACAGGACGATCACGCCAAAACTCTGGGAGTGATTTCCTCTGTATACAAGAAAGAAAATTTTAAAAATTAACATGATTAATTTAATCGAAGAAACTACTTTCATTTATTTCGATTATAAGCTATAGCATTGTAATTTTTTTTTCTTATTAAGTTATTGTACTTTGAAAAATCTTTCCAATTATAACATTGTATAATGTTTGCAATAGGAAGAAATAAAAGTAGGATGATATAGATATAAATAAACAAATCAATAAAAGTATGTTGCTATTTTTAGCATTTAACACCACTTACTTGACAATGTTGTTGAAACATAGGAAAGACCACATCATCCTTTACAATCATCTCTGCATGCTTTCTTGTTAGAATCACCCACTGAAAGCATAAAAAAAGGTTACTTAAAAAGGAAATTATTTAAACAAATAAACATCAAGTGGAATGGTTTTGTTAACAATAGTATTTAACTATTTATTACCTGAGATCCTTTCCTCCAATGATTAACAGGAATCACAGGATCCATCTTAGGATTATATCTTCCCTCCTTTGTATCAGCAAAACTTTTCAACAAAATTTATGAGTAAAATTTACAATGTTATAACTTATAATCAAATATTTCTTGATATGTAATGTTTTTAATGATTACCTGTCAACAAAGCTAGTTGATGTTGACATGATGTAATCATATGTGTAGCTGAAGTTGTATAAAGGAATGCAACTGAAACAAGATTAAGAAAAGTATAGAAAACATGAAGCCTTTGATATATAATGGGGTTCTTTAAGTTGTTTAAAAAGATTATATATATTTTTTTTACCTATCAGAAAGGAAAGCAAATCGTTCATTAGAAGGATCCATGAGTGCATGTTGAAGTAGAATAATCTCTGCTTGTATCATACTTGCTTCTCCCCAATATATCTACAAACACATGCATACTTTGAAGCCTTTCAAACCCTTAAATTAATTGTTACATTAACAAGAAATTGAGGAAAAAGAAGAAGAAGAAGAAGAAGAAGAAGAAGAACCTGTATGCTATTATTGATTTGGCGATTTAAAAAGTAGTTGGATCTTGCTGTTAATCTGTTAAGTAGGAAACCAGGCCTTGAATGGACATAAATTGAAAACCGATTTTCATTCTCTCCCTGAAAAATAGAGAAATTTTCTTGAGTTCCCTATAATACCCTTCGAGAATGATTGAGTGAATATCATCGACTATGAGAGATTAACATCGATGGTTGTTATGAATCGACTATTTGTACAAATAGGTAATTTAGCTTGAAAATTGACAAAAATAAATCCGAATTTAATCCAATTGAGACAAAGTCTACTATCGATATTCTAAAAATAGAAAGCTTATATGCAATTCACTGAAGTTTTTCAACCTATTGCAGATACAGACTCATAAATGCCACAGTTGCAGATACAAACAGACTCATAAACAACAATATGACAAAAATGTCAAAATCTAAGAGCAAAATGGTGCAATACCTCTGTTCGTAAAGAACAGGTGTCTTTTGTTCATGGAAGTAAATTTGTGAAATTTTATAATTCAAAGAGATAAACATTCAGTCAATTTTAGTACATACAACCATAAATATAGTTCGGGATTTTTTCAGGTAATAATCATCTGCAAAAGTCAGAAATTTTAATCTCGAACAAAAGGAGTAAGTGGGTGAATTACAGAGCATGTAATTTTCAAACTGAAGATAGAGCTACATTCTTACATGAATGAAGAAATGTATTTAATCGAGATGTTAATAATTAACGTACCTGAAAGAATTCATCCCAGACTAGGTCTAGCGGAAGCCGATTTCGTGCTAGGAACAAGAACGCAATTTTAGGTTTTTGAACAAACAGAGGAAAGATCGAAGAAGCACCAATTCGACTGTACTGTGCCTCCATTAACAAAAACGTGGAGAAACAAAATCCCACTAAAAGCAGTGCAAAGATCTTCGTCTTCCATTTATGCCGTATCAATAACTTAGGCGAAATTGGCTTCCGCTTCATTGAACAACAGCAATAACTTCAACAACTCAACGCAGTCAATCAACGTCCTTCTCCCACCATTTCAAACTTCAAGCCACCAAAAATATCTACACACTCACTTTCAGTCTCCAAGTAATGAACTTTTTCTCGAGATTCCGAAATTCCAACAAGATCAAGATCTAGGACTACAAGCTCTCCAATTGGGCAAGTTGAAATCCGTGGAAAAATGCACCAATGGCGGCAGAAATGAAGATCGCGAAATCTAGCAAGAAGCTCGTGAGTTGAGCGTCAGCGAGTCGTTGAGATGGAATATTGGAGACGCTAGTGGACCTTATTGAAGACCACCACCAGACGCCATCAATGGAAACCAACCAAGCTCATGGGCGATGGGTTCGTGACCCGTCTTAATCGAGCGAACCGAAATCGCTTTTAACTTAAAAAGAACAAAGACCTTGGGGGTATTGTCAGGGTACTTTTAGGTATAAGTGTTTGATTAAATTATAAACTTATTTAATACCATATCATTAAATATTTTAGAGTAAACTGCAAATTTGGTCCCATGGTTTACGATTTTATATGGATTGGGTCTCTGAACTTTCAAATTTGCATAGAACGTCCTAATCAACAGGTTTCATTATATTATGGATTTAGTCCCTGTAAAACTTGAAATATCTATTTTACTCTTTTAATTTTCTTTCCTATTATTTGTTATTCGTTTACCTTTTTTATTATTAAAAAATAAAAATAAATCCCCTCACCCCCAAACTTCACCGTCTTCATTTTCCTCCTTTAGCCATTACAGAAAAACAACACCAGCACCAAACCACCGGTCACCCACATTACCACCTTAACCGAACCATGCATCTCCCATCTCTCCTAGTCTTTCGGTATCCTCGCTTCCTTTGTTATTCTCAACAACCACCACCCATCGACGAAATTTCTTATTTCTGCCTCAATCCTTCTATAAACGATGTGCGAATTCATCTTTAATAATCGAAATCATGTTTTGATAATCATAAAACAAAACCCAGATGACCAAAATCAGACCTGTGCACAATCAACACCAAAAATCAGACATATACTCAATTGAAATTAGAATTGTACTAAAAAAAAAGTCATACCTATACTAATTAGACATGTACTTATCAAAAATCAAAATTCGTTACAAAAATTAGGCATGTTCGCAATCAAAACCAAAATACGGGCTTGTAATCAAAATAAATTAAAAAACAGACCAGCAACCAAACTAAGAGGGTGTTTGAATAGGGAAAAAAGAGGGTGCTTATAGCTTATTGCTTATCCCTACCGCTATAAGCTAAGTTTAAGTGTTTGGATAGGAAACACTAAAAATCAGCTTATCGTGGTGGGGATAATCTAAAATAAGCTAATTTTAATAAACATCCCTCCTTGCTTATAGCTTATTGTTTATTTCTAATCCAAACACTTTTACAAAAGTCGCTTTCTCTCACCGCTATAAGCTAATAAGCTTTAAGCTAATTTATCCAAACACCCTCTAAACATATATAATCAGACATGTAACCTAAAAGCAAACCGAGAAACTATGGAGAAGGATTGATTTTGACGTCTTTAGGAAGATACTCATATGACTAACTTTATCATGCATCTACGATGAAAAGAGCGTGAATGACTTTAGATGTGGTCTGAAGCAATTTGAATTATCTGATCTGGTCGATATAGCTCTAATTTCTAGGTTTTGGTTAAAGGAAGTAGAATGGTGAATGGTGTTTGTCACTGAAAGTGTTTGTCATCGGAGGTGTTTATCATTAGAGCTGAAAGGGAAGGGAATCACAGGAGGGATTTTCGTGGAATACAATTGAAGGGAGAAGACCTTCGCTAAGGATGTGTGAGAAAGGGAGAAGAGCTTCGCCTACTCCAATAGATGTGTTGGCGGTGGTCGTCAATCAGGTGGGTAATGAATTCACCAGTGATGTGTTGTTGATTTAGGTTTTATGATGGATAAAAAGAAATGAGGGATGGTGTAGGGTAGGATGCGGTGGGGTGGGTGTTTATTTTTATTTAAGAATTAAAAATAATAGGAAAAGTAAATTAAAAATGTAAAATAAACATTTCAAGTTTTAAAATGACTAAATCCACAATGAAATCTGCTAATGATGACGTTCTATGCAATTTTTAAAGTTCAATGACTCGCTCCATATAAAATTGTTAACCACGGGGTCTAATTTATAGTTTACTCACCACTTTAATATGTCTTAAAAGTTAAAATAAATATCTATTAAATAAATATATCTGTTTGCTTTTATTTGGTGGATGTTAATGGGTGTCAAGTGCAGCGTCTCATCCCCTAATCAAACAAAATTCCCACTTCCAAATATCAAACAAAATTCCCCCTTCCAAATATTATAATATTGTTTTTTATTTTAAATTAAGGCCATATATAAAACATACAATCATTTCATGTATTTTTTAACAATGATAGCTAGAAACTTACTAGTTTTTATTATGAGTTCATTATTTCTATTACTTGTTATTCTCATTAACCTCATATTTAAAAACTATAATAAAATGACCACCGACTTCGTAAATTATTGATTCTGAATTCGTGATTTTCATTTCCTAAAGCATCCTATTTAAATTCAATAGCCAATACTCATATTCTCTTTCAACGAGAAGACTAAGATACCAAGCATAGACCGTGAAATAGGACAATCGGAGTTTGTGAAATGCATGATATCAAAAGAAGTGTCATTCGTTGATTAAAATATGGTTCATGTTGTGTTGTTCCTACCAATCCCGATAACCAAATTTCTCAAATCCCATATCAACTAATAGTTTTAGTTAGGAACTTTTTCTACGGCTAATCATTCTATCTTTTTGAGGCATAATCAAACTACTTATTATCATGTCTATACGTTATATCTCTAATCCTAATAAAAACATCTCCTAGAATCCACTTGTCCAACTCTTAGACTACAAATCTCCCACGTGGCAATACAAGAAGCAATAAACAAAAAACTTTACCGCCCATATACACATTCCTTCAATTCGTCAATCCATATCCAAAACAATTTTAAAATTGAAAATTTCCATATTCCATATTGAAGATTGAAGATATTGGAGATTGAAGATTGAAGATATTGGAGATTGAAGATCCTGTATCCCTTAAAATCAGGAGCCGAAGTTGATCCTGTATCCGATTCAAATATACCTTAAATCCCTGAAAATCAGGTTCAAAATAAATGCATATGCATATATCAGTTCCTATAATCGGTTTTACTTCCACAGAGTATTATATTTCAAACAATCTTTGACGACATTCTCTCTGAGCTCTGATGACTTCCATGGAACAGGAAAAACTAAAAACAATCGATGATAATAATAAAAGGTTTGTACTTCATTTCGATTGCAACTCATTTATATCGTTTATTTAGTTATCATTAATTTACATATCTATATTTCTCTGTCTTTCTGTATGAATAATTTATAGTCAAGAAAGTAATGTGTTATGTTCCTGTCTCATCATTTGAATTTTTCTTAAAAACAAGCGAATGGTTACTATACGCATCGTTTTTGGATTGGTCTTGTGTCACACTTTCTTTTTCTATTTCTTTTTGTTTACTAGAATTGGTTTCTTCATTATAAGTTTGATCGTATTTAATGATCAAATCTTTCTTATGGTTCTTAACTGAATATCTACTATTTCATCTTAAAATTTGAAGTATTGGATGTTGATGAGTCGTTGTGGCTTTATGATCAACGAATTGTTGCGTGGATTTTATATTTGGATGTTCTTTGACGTAAAAAGGTAAACTATTTCAAATGCATACAAAATGTTTGTGTAAATGTCTGTGTGAAGTTTTTGTATCTGTTCTTCTCCTTTCTCATTTGTGGCTGATTTTTTTTGCCTTTTAACGTTGCTCTTGAGTGATGTTTCATTATATTTACTTAATAAGTATGTTCTTAGACCTAGGTTGTATGAGGTTCCTAATTTTCATCCCAAAACACTAGGTAGATTTTTCAAAACAAAGGCCTAAATCTGCATCTATACTCCATATTAAATAACAAGAAACTCTTAAAAAAAATAGTGGCAAATCTTTCAAGTTCTTCAACTACCCATGTCTAAACTAATAATAAAAACTTTACAGGCTTATTTTTCAGAATCTTTCAAACTCAATATTCTATTATGTTGGGAAGGAAGATTCTATTTTACAAAGCTATTTACGAATGGGCTGATTTTAATAGTTTAGTTGTTAGCTTTCAACTGTTGATATTGATACTGGTTGATAGGTCCAGTTACTAATGATGTTATTTGAGTTGAATTTTGAATAAGGGAACCAGGTAAGTTTTGCATCTTAAGATTTTGTATGTTTGCTAGCTGTTGAGGGTTGTGCTGCTCTTGGGAAGTTGCTAGAGCAACATGACTGTGTTGCATATAATCTTCCTGTCATTATCAATTTCAATTTTTCTCAGGTGAACTTTTAATAGTAATTTGGTTTTATAATTAATCAATGTTTGCTTTATTTTCCTTTTTTGTTCCAGCTTTATTTTAATTTATGCAACCTAATCGAAAACTTCACTAAAGATAGTTCCTAAGGTGTAAGTTGTTAGACATGAATACTAATTTCATTATTTCCTTTTTTAACATTCAATATTGACTCTTTTTCTCAAAATGTTAGATCCTCTCTTACCTCACATAGCCCATGTTTAGGAACAATAACTATTTTATATATTTTATTAAGAATAGAGATATCTGAAAAGCATTTGTTTATATTCATTCATGAATCATGAATTGATGGAATATATTATTTCCCTTACCATTATTTCTTTTTATTTTTTTAAAACAATTTTACTCTATTTAAGATGTTGCTGCTAAAAATGTTTTGGCACGTGTTGGATATGGTTAACAACCCACATTATTTGTATCATGTTTTGGCACGTGTTGGATATGGTTAACAACCCACATTATTTGTACCATGTGACTGTTATTCATACAATTTCCAAATTTGCCCTTATTATGGGCTCAAAAATCACTTCTTCTAATTTGTTCCATATTGTTTATACGACCTCTAAAGACAGGTAGGTCAATTCATTTCTTTAAATATACTTTTTTTGTCATTCTTAGTTATTTTTCATTTATTGTGTTTTTTTAGAATGCCTAATATCAAAGTCAATGTACCTTAGGTGTTTGCAATTCCTAGTTCTCATTGTTGACCACTGTGTAAGTTTCTTTTTACCCGGATTTGGTCTTATACTTCAAGGGAAAAATAGTCATACTTAAAAAAAAAAAACCTAATACTTTGAATTGTTAGATTGCAACAAAAAGTGATAGGGACCATTTTTCTAATTTTTGATATGTTTGTTTTATAGGTTTTGGAGAGTACCATTCAGCCGTGTTTGGTGGATTTGCATGACGATCCGGATGTTGATGTTTGTTATTTTGCAAACTAAGCAATTTAGACATTAAATCATGACATGATGTCAAGCTAAAGA